ATTGGTAAGCATACTTTTCCATATAGTGTGAACAATTATTAAAAGATCATTGTGTAATAACATATTGTAAAAGATGTTTAGATGCGAAGAAATTAATTTATGTTACATTTACATGACGATGTTTTATAATAAAGTGTCGCATTATAATTTGGTTAAAAGGTAATTCCCAAAATTTAACGCACAAAATATATTTTTTATCAGCTTTATGCATTGGAATGTTTACTTTGTATTTTTTTTAATGTAAATTGTTTATTGCAATATTTAAGTGTCGCGCGCTTTCCTCTCATGTTATTTTGCTCTGTCTTTATTATTTATCAAAATTGCTGGAGAGGCCAATTTTGACATGTATAGATAGCCATCAGGATTTTGGTTGTAGCCATTAGCTACCCACTGTGTTATTATCAGTATAGGCTACATTTTACTGTAACACAATAGATTGTAAGCTAAAATATATTGGTAGGCTATTAATATTAAATAATCTAATGACATCCACAAACATTCCTGTAATGCTAAACACATTTTATGGTGGTTCTGGCAAACAACTGCAAATTAAAGTGTAGACATGTCATGTAATAATCTCACTATGGAATCAGGAATTAAATTAGAATGATTTAAGAAGAAAAAGAAAATCAGTAGGCCTGTTTCATGAAACAGTTGCAGTGCCAACAATCTTTCTCACGGGCTACATTTTATTCGTTTGTTTTTATGATTTTTGACAACTGTTTTTTGCTTTGTTGACCTCCATGATTTTATGATATCTTAAAGCATGTGCTCTTCTCGCAGACGTTACGGCACTAAATGTGGAGGCTGCGCGCAGGGAATCTCGCCCAGTGATCTAGTTCGGAAAGCGCGAAGCAAAGTCTTTCACCTAAACTGTTTCACCTGCATCATGTGCAATAAACAGCTGTCCACTGGCGAAGAACTTTACATACTGGATGAATATAAATTTGTCTGCAAGGAGGATTACTTGAATAACAGCGTCGGAAAAGACACAACCCTTCTGTCAGGTGAGTCATTTTTGGAGATGAATATGAAATTATCTGCACGATGAATTCACGAACCGTGTAATAATAAACTCAAGTCTCTCTCTTTCTATCTTTCTCTCAATGTCTTCTGATTATAAGGCTATGTAATTTTATGTTGTCTTCGAACGTGTGGGGGTACTTGGAACGTTATGACAGATGACTAAGTGGATTCTGCGCTCTTTACAGTTACTACGTGCAGTGACCCGAGCTTATCTCCAGAATCTCAAGACCCGCAGGATGACAAAGACTCTGAGACTGGACACATGTCAGACAAGGAGACCTGCAACAATGAAAACGACGAGCAGAATCTGGGAGGCAAACGTCGCGGGCCGCGAACTACTATCAAAGCCAAGCAGCTGGAGACACTGAAGGCTGCCTTCGCCGCAACCCCCAAACCGACCAGACACATACGAGAGCAGCTGGCGCAGGAAACAGGCCTCAATATGCGAGTCATTCAGGCAAGTATGCCTACAACTCGAATACATAAGTCACTTGGCAGCGAGAGTTTATCTGACGAATGCGCAAATGTGTGCGTTCATTTGGAACTGTTCGTTTAATATGCAGGCCTATAATATATAGTAGGTCTATAATAATAGCCTAATAATGTAGGCCTAAATCAAATGTCTGAAAGTGGGAGAATGTTTCCGTGTAGTTAAAATAAATGCAGTGACAGCTTTGTATAATTTGCCTAGGCCTATAGCTACTCCAGATTGGATAATAGGCGTGATGGTAGCCTATGCAAATATGTCCCCTGCTATTGTCTGACGTGATGTCCAAATGACAAAAAAAGTCAATGACATTCAGTAGATAATAGTGCTGAATTGTCTTGTCTGCAGAGTAACGACCCGTCGTGACGAATAGGGTTGAAATAGGTATTAAACGTGGAGAGCGTGTCATTATTTTGTTTCTGCCATTCATTCATTTTTTTTTTTTTTTGTGTGTGTGGCAGAAATAACGACACGTGATTTTGGTATAAAATAAAATTCTCCAAATATATCTCAATACCCCCCCCCCCCCCCTTTCTTTTGGATAAAGAAAAAACATCGCATAAAGTTATATATATAACTTTATGCTATGTTTACGTGCTTCATGCTATCTATTGCATGCAGTTAAATGTTTTTTTCTTCTTCTTAGGTTTTCCACGGGCTGCCAAACAACATTTACTCTCAATAATGTTTCAGGGGTTTATTAATATGGAAAGTAATGTGTGTATTTTCTGTCGCGCAGGTGTGGTTTCAGAATCGGCGCTCTAAAGAGAGGCGCATGAAGCAGCTCAGCGCGCTGGGCGGCAGAAGACACTTGTTCTTCCGCAGTCCGAGGAGAATGAGGGCGCTGGGCGATCGGATGGAACCAGGGGAGCTCATGGCCAACGGACATTTCTCTTTTTATGGCGGTTAGTTAATATTCATGAATCGAAAAAAAAAAAAAAAAAAAATACATCATAGCCAATGGGCTACTAAGATATTTTTCGGAATGCAGCAAGTTACAGTTATTATAGGCCTATATACTGTATAATATATATATATATATATATATATATATATATATATATATATATATATATATATATATATATATATATATACATTAGGGCTGTGCAAAAATTAATTGAGATTAATCGCATCCAAAATAAAAGTCTGTGTTTACATAATATATTTGTGTGTGCTGTATATAATTATTTTGTAGGCCTATATATAAATACACACACATGCATGTATATATTTAAGAAAATGTGTTATTCATATATAAAATATTTATATTTATATAATATAGATTATGTACACACAGAATTTAAGCGCAAATAATTCTTACATGCATGCATAGGTATTTATATATACAAAATAATTATATACAACACACAAATATATTATGTAAACACAGACTTTTATTTTGGATGCGATTAATCGCAATTAATTTTTGCACAGCCCTAATATATATATATATATATATATATATTTAAAAATAATTTATTACACAATCATTTCCATGTTTCCATGTGGTAAAAACCATTTCGCACAAATAACATTTAAAAATGTTAGATTTCAAGGCTGGTAAATTATTTTTATGTAATATTAAAATAACATAAATTTATGTTATAATATTAAAATAATATAAATATCATTACACACACACACACACACACACACACACACACACACACACACACACACACACACACACACACGTACATAACTAAAATTTAAAAGAACTTATATTACACAACCATGTTTCCATGCTTAGAAAAATTAAAACAAACATGCAAAAATTAATATTACATATAATTTTATTAATATAATACAAATATCATACATAAATGTGTGTGTCAACTATATTTAATTTAAAAGCATTTATTTTACAAAAAGCTAATCGGCCTATATATAAAACAATTTATTACAATCATTAATTCTAAAACTAAATTCCATGCTTACAAAAATATAAACTGTCTTGTAGATATAGCCTATATATTTATAAATGTGTTAAAATATAAGGCTGATATTTTTTTTAATGAAAGACACAAAAATACTGAGCAGTCATAATGTATTGAAATATTATTCACTTTTCTACCATATTGCCCTACAAAGTCAAAACATAGTAATTACATCAATATTACATCTAAGTGAGCGGATTTCAGTCGACAACTGTGCAGTAAGTGCTTTTTGCCCTTTGTGAGGAAGTTAAATGAGAAGGCTTTGAATGATCGCATGTAATGATCATTTGATGATCTCCTCTTTCTAACAGACTATCAAGGCGAGTACTATGGCCCTGGCTCAAACTACGAGTACTTCCCTCAGGGTCCACCGTCCTCCCAAGCCCAGACTCCTGGTGATCTAGGATTCATGACCTCCTCTGGCCCAGCTGGAACCCCTCTCGGGAGCATGGACCATCATCACGGAGCACACCACCCCTCCAATGAGACACAATGCTTCAGTGAGATGATATCGCATCACCCAGGGGACTCCCCCAGCCCAGAGCCCAGCGCACCCGCCTCCATCCACAGCATCTCTGACATGTGTGACTCCACTCCACCTTTCACATCCCTGAACTCTCTCAGTGCCAACGGATACAGCAATCTGTCCTCGGAGATGAACGAGGGAACAGTGTGGTAGCAAACCACAGACCGATTGAGGACACAAACATGTGAAAACGTCCGTTCATGCGTGATTTCATAGCAGCGAAATTTCTATTTAGTTATTTATTGACATTATTTATTTGTTCATTCGTTTACCTATTTATTTAATGTATTTATCTATTTAAGCAGCATTTGTGTATTTTGAAAGTGGAATGTCAAATATGGGTCTGCAGACCTTATAGCTGTGCTATAGACAAGCTGAAGCAGAATGTTTATATTTACAACACCTGGTGTGTCTGTTCACATGTGTGTATCATAACCTGACGACTCAGACCTCTTTGCCTTTTGAGGCTTTGCCATAATGACACTTGAAATCATCTCACACCAAAATCTTTCTCTGCTCTTCATGCGGTGGAGTTATGAGTTCCAACAAGTCTCAGAGCGTTTTGCCTTTTAAAGGGAAACTTATAATTGTTGGAACGAACCCTTTATTTGAAATGAAATATGACTTGAATTATAAGACGAAGTCTACCTTCTAAAAATCATTTCATATATGGTCAGTGGACAGAGAGGAGTCAATTGTTTACGTATATTTTCTTCAGGGGTTTAAATATCAACCCTCTTGATACCGACATGAACTTTTTTCTTCAAGCAAGGAACCAAACTTTTGTATTGATTCAATTTATATCTGACTTGTGAATCACTGTATTAGTTTGTATGATATTGTGTTTGCACAAAGAATACACTCAACAAAACCATAAATACATGTTGACAATTGAAGCGCAAATATATGTAAATGGGCTTTTTTTTTAAAACTATAGCACTGAGAGTGACTCAAATGCATAGGGTTATTTGATAATCTGTAATTTTAAAACTGTTGAAACAAACAGTGAGTCTGGAGAACAAACTGGGTGCACAAAAAGGCATTCATAGTGGGACAAAATAATGGCAAAAGGATGGCTTTTATTTAAGGATTTGATAATGTCAGTGTTAGGAGGTCATCATTGCTGCTAAATGTAAAACGTATGAACATTTTCATAAACTTTTCAATATATTTTTGAACATGTCATACTATTTCTATATTATGACATCCAGAAAAATGACTTGCAAAATTTAGATTTTATTAACTTTCACTGACAGTGGCCTATTGAGAATAACAGAATTACATCTATAGTCTGCATTATTTCTCATGAGCATGGAATTCATTATTTATTTAATCCACTGATGTTTAGATGTGTTAATTTGGCAGTAAAATAAATGAAATAAGCATTGCATATAGCCTAGACAATAGCCTACATAAAATGCATTTGACACTTTCTTTAAATATGTATGCTACTTATTTTGAATAGGCTATACTAGCATGCAGCTATGATTCGAAATGTTATTAACATTTCAAATAGCTATTTAAATGTTCATTATTATCATGCTGAATGCAAAATAGCCTATTATCTCACTTTTTTTTGTACAGAACTACAGCTCAATTTGTTTGTCTTAACATGCTTGCTTTTAGCTATTAAAAACATTAGTCCCTAAATCAGATAAATATAGGAAAATATATGGATTTATTTCTTCTGCTGAACACAAAAGAAGATATTTTGAAGAATGTTGGTAACCTCATATGTCTGGTCACTAACATTCTTCAAAATATCTTCTTTTGGGTTCAACCGGAGAAAGAAATGCATACAGGTTTGGAACAACTTTAGGGCGAGTAAAATTATGAACTATCCTTTTAGAAATTATATTCTCGATCTGTCGGGTAACGTTATAATGTTTCTCTTCTCCACACACCCACAGTTTTGATTATGGTAGGTTTACCTAGAACATAATAATGTGCAGTATTAATGATTTAAACACTCTGTTGAGCTCACTCTGTCTAAGAAAAGACAATCTACTGTGTACTTAGCTTAGCAAACACAAACTTATTACGCACGTCACGAGACGACTCTTCAGGCGCTCTCTGATGATGTCATTAGAGGTGCAGCGTGGGACAGACATGGCAGCCTCCATATCACAGCAGCTCGAGGATTTGTTAAATCCTTTACCAAGTTTCGTGGATCCCGAGGACGACCAAGATGAAGGTATTATACTTAAATGTCATAACCGTTAATTTAACGTGTTGTAGGCATTTTAGTGCTATTATAATGGCCAATGTGTCACCCCAATTGCAAGCACGATGTGTCTGCATGCCTCAGTGTACTGAGAACTGACTTTACTTCACACTTATTAAGATCAACGACTTGAACATAACATTTGTTGTAGTAATAAATGCCATGGTGTGTTTTTTTTTTTTTGTTCCGTGGTTGTACCGTGTTATTCTTCAAATATCATGTTACCATGGTAGAGTATTTGTTTGGTAATATGGTAACCATTCAGTATCATGGTAATACTTTATGATACCATCATTGTACCATGATACTACCATTGTAGTTATAAGAACATATGTTAAGAATATTATAAACTTATTACAGCAGGACCTATTATTATATGTGTGATATAGTCAATTTCTTCACCTTAAATGCTGGTTTTATGTTTCACTGACTGTTGATTCACTAATATGATTAACTGTACTCCCATGAGTGCTTAACCCTGACTCTTCATTTTGAACTGCAGAGACGAAAGCCAAAGTCATAGAGAAGTTTGATGAAGGTGGGGATGAAGATGATGATGGCAAACTTTTATCTGGCAATCTGCGGAGGCGCTCCGTTGCCATTCTGGCTGACGGTGATCGTCGATATTGTGGCAAGGCAACATCCAGAAAAGATCTACAGAAAGAGTTGGATGGATCAGGTGAGATGCAAATGTTTAACAAAAATAGAGATATTTTTATTAAGTGTTATACACTTTTTGGATCAACTAACGAATAACTTCCCTATAGTGATCTGTACATAATAAGCTGGGATTGAGGAACTAATTTATATGCCAATTTTTAGCTGATGATGATGATGAAGAAGAAGAAGATGATGATGATGATGATGAAACTGGAATGCTGGAAAAGTACATGGAGTGCATCAGAGATGATGAGGAGGATGAAGATGGTGACCATGATGAAGAAGATCACGCCGATGTCGAGGAGGATGTCAATGGAGACGATAGTTCACAGATGTCCAGCTTGGTCTCTAAAATGAAGGGCACAGACTTTATGAAACTCACAGAGGGAATGGATGATCTGGGAGACAGTGAGGAAGAAGAGGACTCAACAGCCAGTGAAGGAGAGAGTGAGGTAGGCTCTGAGGAAGGTGAAGAAGAGGAATCAGCCTTAAGGACCTTCTCTAAAGAGAAAATTAATGAAGAGGTGGAGAAAGGGAAGGCAGTGAAAAATCAACTCGGTATGGATGCCTAAGCACATTCACAGTGTGCTCTCAAAATAAATAAATGACAACAATACATATATTTTAAGAAAAATAGAAAATACCAGAAAAAGACTACTCAACTTTATGCTGTTTTCAAATCTCTACAGCTCTTTGGGACCTGATGCTTGAAAGGCGAATCAAAATGCAGAAGGCTCTTGTGACAGCCAATCAGCTTCCACAGCCACAGACATTCCCAGAGTTCAAGAGCAGGGGAGGGGCTGAATACGCTGAAGCTTTAAAAAATAGTAAGTGAATTGACTCTATTTTATAACTTTAACAGTGATATAGACCATTTTGCAAGATGTAAACAACGCTGGTCCAGAAGCACTTCCTGTTTCAGTTTTTTAACACTACATAAAAGCTGGGATAAAAATACAACCAACAGAACATATAAAACTGAATCAAAAAGTTAAACAAACATCTTTAAGATATTTTCTTTACATGTGAAATAAAGACAACAGTTACAAACTGAAACAGGAAGTGTTTCTGGACCAGTGCTGTTTACATCTTGTAAAATGGTCTATAAAAATAATTGTGTTTTTCTAATCATTCCTTAATCCTTGTTGCAAATATGTCTGAAATTTCACAGAACATGGGTCAACTTCTAGACACTTTACCTATTGACTCATTACCCAAACTCGGATGCCAAATATTAATACTTCACTTAAAGTTGGCATGAAGCGGGAGTCTTTTCTTCCCTTTTGTGACGAGATAAATGGCTTCTCGAACAAGAAAATCTTTAGGACAGGATTTGAGTTTGTCCATCGAGAATTGATTGGACTGTTGTCATTTGGGATTGCTGCAATCTAATGTGAGTGCTAGGTTAATACTGAATGGGAGAGGTTAAAGACCCACCCTCAGCCAGAAAATGTCATCAGAGAAGAGATCATCATTGCAAGAGGGAGTGGAAGTTATTTTGATTTAAAGTATGCACATGAATAAAAATAATATATAAATAAAAATAAAGAATTTGAAGAAAAGAAAAGACCTCATGTTGCAGCATGATAATGTTCCTTTCCATTGTTCTTAAAGTACTTTTTAAATTTAATTTTTAATTTATTGGTCAGCTACATAAGTAGTTTTTTTTTTTTAAGAAATTAATACTGTTACTCTGCAAGGTTGTATTAAATTGATCAAATGTGACCGTAAAGACATTTATGTTGTTACAAAATCTTTTTCAAATTAAAGGGTTAGTTCACCCAAAAATGAAAATTAAGTAATTAAATATAGCTGCGAGCAGCGATGGCGGGCCCAAGCCGGTGGCACCGCAACCCCGGCTCCTTTAGTTACCTAAAGGCACCGGGGTGGCGGTGCCGAAGGCTTTGGCCCTTTCATGATTAAATATTAAAACGGCTTGCCATAGTCTGTCATTTTGACTAGTCACAATTATGTTACAGATATCTTAAATGATAATACAAAACTATCCAAAATGTAATTACGACTAGACAGAAAGACATTGTTGATATCTACAATGTTAATTTCGGATAGGCAAACTTAGCTTTTAAATGTTTAAAAGGGCCTGCCATACACGGACGTAGGCTCAGAGAGAGTCTCAACCATATTCAAACCAAAATATCTGACTTCCTCTTGGTCTGAGCTAATGACTATGAATTAGAAAGTTGTCTGGCTTGAGGAGTACAATGTATATAACGATTTTTGTAACTGTAGATAAAAATAACAACCCCACTTTTGTCAAAAGGTGGCGCTATTTAGTCCCTGCACCATGCCCGTTTCTGAAACTTTGCACATGTCTACTGGCTAATAAATGTGATGTGTCTGTTGAGTTTCATGCAATTTCATGCATGCTAAGAGTCTCAAAAGCATCCTAAAATAATTTCAAAGTTTGAAGCTTTGCCACGGCAACAGTTTAAAAGATATCAAGAATCCATTCACAGGTCTACATCTACCGTATGTTTACATTATACAGATGAAGTTTTTCATCTGTTTTTCATCATTATACAGATTAAGTTTTTCATCTGTTTACATTATACAGATGAAGTTTTTCATTCATATTATTACATGCAAGCGTGTTTGATTTATGGACCAAGTTTTCGGACCCCGTTCCAGGGGGCGCTGTCTAGCCCCCCTGCCACGCCTAGGTACCATCTTCAGCCCGGGCCTGATGGCTGTGGGATATGACCTGTGTGCAAAGTTTCAAGAGTTTTCAAACCCGTTAAGGGCCTCAAAAGCCATTAAGAGTCTCAAAATCATCAAAAAAAAATAATTTTAAAGTTTGATGCGTTGCCACGGCAACAGTATCAAAGATATCAAGAATCCATTCACAGGTCTTCATCTGCCATGTATTTACATTATACAGATGAAGTTTGAAGCAAATCGGGTAAAAATAAGAGGTTGATTTCAAAGCATTTTGAAAGTGACACACTTCCTGCTGCCAGTTGGTGGCGCTATAACTTTGACTCGAAATAGTCACATCCATGTGATCGTCCTCTTACAGCGAACACACTGATGAAGTTTCATCAAGATATGTTAATGTATGCTGAAGTTATAACACACTTCCTGTTTCACGTTTCTCGCCATAATTTCGTTTCCTCGCCACGGCCAAACCGTTTGAGATATCAAAAATCCCCTCACAAACTTTCATCCTCAATGTCTTGACTTCTTGCACACCGAGTTTGGTTGTGATTGGTAAACACATGCGTTGTAATTTGATGTATTTCTCCTAGGACAACTATTCAAACAACCCATAATTCTCAACTTCCATTTTAATTGTCGTAAAACTTAGAGCACGAAAGTTGTTTGGCCTGATGTGATCTATAATTGTACCGAGTTTCATATTAATTCACGCAAGTGTGTTTGATTTATGGACAAATGTTCGAATCCCAGTCCAGGGGGCGCTGTCGAGCCGCCCTGCCACGCCCGATGACCAGCTTCAGCCCGGCCCTGATGGCCATGGGTTCTGACCCGTGTGCAAAGTTTCAAGAGTTTTAGAGGATGTTAAGGCCCCCGAAAATGCCAGAGAAGTCGCACACAGCAAATAAAGGGTTAAAATTAACCTGACAGGCGCCCCTCCTCTCACTCACACAGAGAGACACTGAGAGACTGGCAAAATTCTAAGATTTTCTCTACATTCAAACAAAGATATCTGACTTTCTGTGGGTCCTAGCTAATGAGTGTCAATTAGAAAGTTGTCCGGCTCGAGGAGTACAATATACATACCGATTTTTGTAACTCTAGTTAAAACTAACAACCCCACTTTTGTCAAAAGGTGGTGCTACTGAGCCCTCACCACGCCCGTTTCTGAAACTTTGCACATGTCTACTGGCTAATAAATGTGATGTGTCTGTCGAGTTTCATGCGATTTGAAGCATTCTAAGGGTCTCAAAAGCATCCTAAAAGAATGGTAAAGTTTGATGCGTTGCCACGGCAACAGTTTAAAAGATATCAAGAATCCATTCACAGGTCTACATCTGCCGTATATTTACATTATACAGATTAAGTTTGAAGCAAATCGGGTAAAAATAAAAGGGTGATTTCAAAGCATTTTGAAAGTGACACACTTCCTGCTGCCAGTTGGTGGCGCTATAACTTTGACTCACAATAGTCACATCCATGTGATCGTCCTCTTACAGCGAACACACTGCTGAAGTTTCATCAAGATCAGTTAATGTATGCTGAAGTTATAACACACTTCCTGTTTCACGTTTCTCGCCATAATTTCGTTTCCTCGCCACGGCCAAACCGTTCGAGATATCAAAAATCCCCTCGCAAACTTTCATCCTCAATGCCTTGACTTCATGCTGACCGAGTTTCGTGCCGTGTGTTTGAATTCTCTAGGAGGAGTATTGCACATTCCATTGCGAGCGTTTTACAAACAAACCTCAATAGCCGACTTCCTGTTGGGCTGGGGTAAAAAGTAAGAGTGTGAGGTATAGATGAAACGATGAGATCAACATGTGTACCGAGTTTCATATTATTACATTCAAGCGTGTTTGATTTATGGACCAAGTGTTCGGACCCCGTTCCAGGGGGCGCTGTCTAGCCCCCCTGCCACACCCAGGTACCATCTTCAGCCCGGCTCTGATGGCTGTGGGATCTGACCTGTGTGCAAAGTTTCAAGAGTTTTCAAACCCGTTAAGGGCCCCAAAAGCCGCTAAGAGTCTCAAAATCATCAAAAAAAAGAATTTTAAAGTTTGATGCGTTGCCACGGCAACAGTATCAAAGATATCAAGAATCCATTCACAGGTCTTCATCTGCTATGTATTTACATTATACAGATTAAGTTTGAAGCAAATCGGGTAAAAATAAGAGGGTGATTTCAAAGCATTTTGAAAGTGACACACTTCCTGCTGCCAGTTGGTGGCGCTATAACTTTGACTCACAATATTCACATCCATGTGATCGTCCTCTTACAGCAAACAAACTGCTGAAGTTTCATCAAGATCAGTTAATGTATGCTGAAGTTCTGACACACTTCCTGTTTCACGATTCTCGCCATAATTTCGTTTCCTCGCCACGGCCAAACCGTTCGAGATATCAAAAATCCCCTCGCAAACTTTCATCCTCAATGCCTTGACTTCATGCTGACCGAGTTTCGTGCCGTGTGTTTGAATTCTCTAGGAGGAGTACTTCAAATTCCATTGCGAGTGTTTTATGAACAACCCTAAATAACCGACTTCCTGTTGGGCTGGGGTAAAAAGTAATAGTTTGAGGTATATATGAACGATGAGATCTATATGTGCACCGAGTTTCATATTATTACATGCAAGCGTGTTTGATTTATGGACCAAGTTTTCGGACCCCGTTCCAGGGGGCGCTGTCTAGCCCCCCTGCCACGCCCGGGTACCATCTTCAGCCCGGCCCTGATGGCCGCGGATTCTGACCCGTGTGCAAAGTTTCAAGAGTTTTTGAGCATGTTAAGGGCCCCAAAAGTGCCCAAATAGTCGTATAAATAATAATAATAATAATAAATATAGCTGCGAGCAGCGATGGCGGGCCCAAGCCGGTGGCACCGCAACCCCTGGCTCCTTTAGTTACCTAAAGGCACCGGGGTGGCGGTGCCGAAGGCTTTGGCCCTTTCATGATTAAATGTTAAAACGGCTTGCCATAGTCTGTCATTTTGACTAGTCACAATTATGTTACAGATATCTTAAATGATAATACAAACTATCCAAAATGTAATTACGACTAGACAGAAAGACATTGTTGATATCTACAATGTTAATTTCCGGATAGGCAAACTTAGCTTTTAAATGTTAAAAGGGCTTGCCATACACGGACGTAGGCT